AAAAAAAAAAAAGATGCTAACTAATTCGAACCATTTACAAAATTCCGGCCAAAGATTTTGTGTAAATATATATGAATTTTGTTACCATAAAAAAACCCAAAGAATCCGATCATATTGTGAAAGTTGTTAAAAAGAATTATCAAAAATTCGAACCCCTTACAAATTTTCAACTAACAGATTCACCAAAATTGCTAGAGATTTTGTGTAATAATTATGAAATTTGTTAAAAAAAAATAAAAACCCAAAAAAACCCGATAATATTATGAAGGTTGTTACAAAAAAAATATGCTCAAAATTAGGATCTCTTACCAAATTTTCAATTAAAAGATTTACCAAAATTCTTAAAAATGAATATGACATGTGGGTTGAAGAATATTACTTATATTAGTAAGTCAACACTTTTTTTTATGTCAAAGTTACTATTTAATATTTTTCCAATAACCTCCTTATATTATTAAAGATTTTGCACAATTTAAATTTCATATAACATTGAAATTTTTAATTTATAAATATTAATGAATATTTCTTACTCATTTGTCGCACGAGATTCATACTAGTTAAGTTAGTAAAGTGTAAAAAAAAAGTTAGTAAAATATATTATAATTAAAAAAAATTGGGAGAAAAGAAACATTTAGGCCAAAAAAAAAAAAAACAATTCATTCCTTATAAACAATGTCCAGAATAGAAAAATATATTGAAACATAATTAATGTTCAGTTTATTGATTGAAAGTAAATTAGAAGTTATTGTTGTTACCCAATTTTGACCTCACCTATTAAAATGTTACGTGTGGATATATATATTAAATAAATATAAAATAGCAAGTTTTTTTTATCTTATTGACTGAGTTCTCAGAAGACAAGGTCCGCATCCAGAAACCGCCAGCCCGACCCGGATATCACAAAGAAGCCTCCCTGACAGGCACAGTAATTGCTGACAGGACAAATACCAGTCGAAGCTATTATTTATTATTGCACACTGCATGGTCATATTATTACATGTGTATTATTTAAATGTAAAAGCCCATATACGTATATGTGAATGGGCTTAAGGAGCGGCAAAAGGGGATGAAATTTTCTACTTAACCGAAGCACCGCCTCAACTCTCAAAAAAATCCTATTCTTTTCCTTCAAGAAGAAGAGAGATAGACCTTTCTATTTTCTTTGATTCTTATCTCATAAATTACACCAAAAATCACAAAAAACTCATATTTATCCTACACCAATTATTCATGAAATAGGGGTGTATATTTTTATTGTTACAATTTCGCATAACAACAGTTATCTAAGTCAAATGACGACACATAGAATTTTGTCAAACAGGATTCTAAAAAGTGCGTCTGCCACATAGACTAAACACATTTGAGAATTATATAAAGATATAAAGATGATTATTATTATTATTATTATTATTATTATTATTATTATTATTATTATTATTATTATTACTAGTACGTAGCCCGTGCGATGCACGGACAATATTTATTTTGGTAAAGGTTATTAATCAATAAGTTATAATACGTTAAGCATTTGTCAAGTAATTATAAAAAATTTGTCATGTAAAAGTCAATTCGTTATTAAAAACCTCCTTATACACAACATTATTAGTTTGATTGTCGGGCAACTCATCGTCCTCACAAACTAATACTTTCAACCCCTTCATATTAGTTACACACAAAACAACAGTATATAACTGGCCATGACTAAATATCGATTTTTTCAAGAGCATACCAAAATGAGAAAATATACGACCCTGACTCTTGTTTATGGTCATGGTATACAAAATTATAAGGGGGAACTGCCTACGCTACCCTAACATCGGAAGGTATCATATTCATTCGAGGAATCAACACATCCTCACCTTCATGATCTTCAGTCAATATCTTACATTCAAGCACATGAGTAGAAAACTTGGTAACAACCAAGCGTGTTCCATTGCACAGTCCCATAGAATGGTCCACGTTTCTTAATAACATGATTGGAGTTCCAATTTTCAAATGCAATTCATGGTTCGGTGTTCCTGAAAACTTGATGCTATTGAAGAACTCGGAAGTGTGGAGATTTTGCCCAAAACAAAAAAAAAGTCATTATTCGAGTGGGACTTCCACATAATGTCAGAGCTCAAATACATACGACCTTCGTCAGAATTCATCTCCGACATGTATTTATTGATAGACTCAACGACCTCCAAAGTAGGCGCTAATAGAGCACTATCATTTAAATATCTTGAATTGTCAGTTGTATTCTTGAACATTGGATAGGTACTTTTCACGATTGTAGCAATTGGATCATCGAAGGGTTCCAGTCTTGTAACGTCTAGAATGTTAATGTAGGTACAACATCCATTTGATCCTCCTACAGGCCCATCTCCAATGCTAACAATCCAATCAGTAAATGTTGCTACCTTGTCACGCTCGTCCGAATCAGAAATGTTCTGAAGACGCATGTTTTTTGAAAGTCGCAACACAGTACAATCCCTACAAATGGTGGAAGCATTAATAGTTGCATTCACAATATCCTAACAACTCTCCTTTGAAATTACTGGAAGTTATTTGTCAGAAGTCTCCACAAAAAATAAGAAATGAAAGTGAAAAGATAAAAGAAACAATAAACAATATTATACCTCAATATTATGAAAAATAATTTCTATGATGTTATGATAAGAATTAGGAAATTTACTCTCAAACATGCAAACCCCTCGAAGTTGCAACATAACTCTCTTTGCTCGTTCAACTTCCTCGATAAGATCGAAAGGTTGATCTATTTTTTGTTTGGCACTTACTATGGATTCACTAATTACTCGTATGTTCATCAATGGTGATTTTTTTGTGTGGGGGTGATATGATACTTATAAGCATATTAATCGTTTTAACAACAAATAATATGGAAATAAAATTACAGTGAACGCTAATGGTGATTTTTAGTCATATTGTATATTTTTTTTTACGTGAATGCTAATTGTGTATCATCAAAATTGTGTATTTTTTCCACGCGTTGTTTATTACGTTTTTTAATTGAAAGACTGAGAATGTTGTAGTTGTTTATATTGCATTTTTATATCTTATTTTTATATATAAAAAAAAAATTTCAAGTTGTGAATATAACATGTCTAATACCACTGATCGCTAATGGTGATTTTTATTCATATTGTATATTTTTTTTTTCACGTGAATGATAATTGTGTATCAACAAAATTGTGTATTTTTTTCACCCGCTGTTTATTACGTTTTTATTGGAAAGACTGAGAATGTTGTAGTTGTTTATATTGCACTTTTATATCTTATTTTTGTTAAAAAAAGCTATAAAATTTTTAATTGTGATTATAACATGTCTAATACCACTGATGATTTAAATGTTTGCAAATAAAAATAAAAAATATATATTGCCCATTTGTAAAATGTGATATCAATTTTTAATCAATAATTTATAAAATCTGATAGATAGAAAAAATTACACTCAACAAAATTATTTTCATACAAACCGTAATTTTATAAAATGATTTGATAAAACGAATTTTATTTTTAATAAGTAATCTTATAAAATCTGATAGATATAAAAAATATTATTCGAGAAAATCATTTTTATAAAAACCGAGATTTTATGAAAAGGTTTGATTTTAATTTAATTGAAAACGTATACAACAACAAAGGATCCAAGAATCTAAATAAAAATGATTTGACAATATCACTGATTTTTTAAAATATGTTGCTATGAAGATAAAATACCCAACATCTACCATAAAAAGTGGATCATGATAAATTAAAATAATTTGAGTTTAAAAAAATTGGTATGTATAAAATAAATCGCTATAAATATGCTAACAGAATATTGCATGCACCATTAAATCCGCTAACAAATATGTTATAACAGAATATATCTAACGGAATATTTAAATACAATCTGGATTCCATTTTAATAGGAAACTATAATAATGTAATTAATATTTTTTATTTAAAATAGATTCTAAAATTACCATATTTAGTGTGTAATTAATGTTTTTGGCGGGAAAGACTTTCTAAAAGTGAATTATGTTGATTTTTATTATATATTAATAGATTATTATTATTATTATTATTATTATTATTATTATTATTATTATTATTATTTGTTTTATTATTGTTGTTGTAGTAGTAGTTAGTATGAGAAAAGCATAAAAGGCAAAATCATGAATTGCACACCGACCCCCAATTAAGTAAGGAGGATTGATTACAAAGGGATTATTTAAGTACATAGAGATGAAGATCTTTTCGGCCATGGAAATCCGCCAGAAGCTTCTTCGGGTGAAGTTTCAAATTCTCGTCGCCCTCACTCTCACTCTCTCCGCCATCTTCATCTGCTATCTTGCGCCCACGTTCGTCGACATTCTCAACTACTTTTGGCCGCTGCTCCTCTCAACGGCGCTGTTTCTCGTCGCCCTCTTTGTTCTCGACCGGATCTCGCCAGTTTCGGACAATTCCGGCGAGATAGCCGGCGAGGATTTATTGGATTACGTCGCCGGCGAGCCTCCGGTTGGGGGATTAGAGACAATCGTCGAAGCAACCGAGGTAAGAGAAGAGAGCGTGAAAGTCGAGTAGCTTCAATTTTTTTTTTTTTACTCTACAAAAGTGCATTGTAAAACCTGGGAAAAATTGGTGCTTTGTTTTTTTGTGTGGAAATATTTTATTGGACAACATATGTAAATTATATATGTAAATTAAATGTGTATAATTGTCGTAATATTATTCAACTAACGTGATGTACTAATTTGTGATTTGGATGGAGAGAGTATTAAATTGTTGTGGATTTAAATGTGTAAATATTATTATGAGATTTTCTATTTGTCAGAGGGACGGAACTAAAAATCAATATTCTTATTTATTTAATTATGACTCCAAACAACGAAAAAGTACTAACAGATTTTGGAAGAGATGCTTCTTCCTTTGAAAGCACCCACCTTCACTCAAAAAAAATATACGAAAAACGTATGAAATATACACATAAAAATAAATACAATATACCAACAATACAAATCAAAATTTGCTATAACTGGAAGACCATATCAGTCCAACAAAATCGTTTGGAAGAAAAAACCACTTCTGAAAATTAAAGAAGGTAAGAATTTTAAGAAAATGAATTCAAGTATGCTTCCTCTTTTATTCACTTTTAATTCTTAATTATTTGATATAAATGCTCCTGGATTAAAGCAATATTTTCATTCACAAAAGGTTAAATTCCAACATTTATTCGTTTTCATTAGCTGTTATTTTTTTTTATTTTTATAAATTATCAGATTTTAAATTGGTGGAATGATTATTATTCACAGATAAAGCCAACCCTGAGCCCTTATATCATGTAACTAATAATAATCATGAAAAATGCTACGGTCTCATTATGGAAATATTCCGTCGAGGTTCATAACCGTTTGATCAACTATCCCCAACGATTACATGATAATCTAACTGTTATAAATACCCACAAAATGATTTTATAACGAGATCGTAGTATTTTCAATAATCAGACCATTATCGTATCAAAAGCAAAAAGTTCATTGACGATCATGTTTTATTCTTTTTCATTTTTTATTTTGCTTTTTTCTTTTACCTTTTTATTCCAACAATGTCCAAACCGATCTATTTAATTTATTCCGATAACATATCGAAGATTATTTCGTTGGACGACTAATTAAATTAATTTAATATACTAATATAGTGAAATTTTTATTTAATCTGGGGTGTGCCATATTCAGGAAAAATTGGAGATTTCGTCCTGTAAGTGGCACCTATTTGAGGTTTGGTCCTCTCCGATGCCCACTTTTGGATCACGTCCCGTAAGTGGCAAAAATCGTGAGAAATGGTCCTATCACCGGCAAAAGCAGGTCATTTTTACCGGCTAGTCTACGTGACATTTTTACATTTTTTTTTTTTCTGAGTTGGAAGCTATGTGGCATAATTCAAAAAAAATGGCATGAAGGGGTTTCAAACCCGGGTTGATGGGCATTGTAGTGGCCTTATGAGCCACTTGACCAACACAATTTATGCTAAATATTTGAATTTTTATTTATATATCTCTCAAGAAAGTTTTATTATATATTTAATTATTTTGGTTAATTAAACTTTTATTATAGTTAACGTTATTTTTTATATTAATCTACATTATTAATCTTAATTATTTTTTTTATATATTAAATAAATATTTAATAAATAATAAATACGTTAAATAATATAATAAAATATATTAAATAATATGATTTTATTTTAACCTATTCAAATAGATAAATATATTCAAAAATTATATTTAATATTTAAATAAATTAAATAATACATTTAATATGTAAATATAAATATAAATATATATATGTATATATTTCGCTATTTAATATATTTATTATTACTATTATATATATATATATATATATATATATATTAAAGGATGTGGATATAAAATTAAAAATTATTAAATAAATAATTATTAAATTTTATTTTATTAATTTTTTACTAAATAAATATTTAGAAATAAAACAATATATTAAATAATTTAATAAATATATATATATTATATAATATATTAAATAAATATTTTTTAAAATAATATATAAATAGATATTTACTTGATAATATAAATATTTACTAATCAACAGATATGTTTAATAATAAAATAATTAAATATATTTAATCAATATGTTAAATAAAATGAAAATTAAATGAGGTAAATAAAAACACAACATAAATGATAATAAGAGTTTCGTCACCCAAAATAGTATATTTAATATTTTTTTATTTTAGTATAAATGATAATTTGTTGCAATATAATTGATAGTTTGTTGCAGTATTTATCATTTACTATATTTAGTATTTACATTTACAATTAATTAATCAAATAAAAAAATATGACATTATTTAATATATTTCACTAAAAATATAATAAATGAGAAAATAGTATTATAATATTCATTATATTTATTTATTAATATATATTTAATAAATTTTATAATATATGTATTATTTAATAAATATTTAATTAATATATAAAAAAAATTCATAATATGCATAAATTATGTATAATTTTATAATTAAAAGCCGTATAAGTTGAATAATATATATACTTATATTTTAATAAAAAATAATATTGTATTATTTAATATATTTATTTATTAAATATAATAAACAAGAAATAAAATTACATTATTGAATATTTATTTATTAATTTATATTTAATATATATATTCATTCAGTAAATATATATTTAACTAATAAAAAAATTAATAATATATCACGTATTATTTAATGAAAATATATATCATGTATTAATTAATTATATAATTAAAGTAGTAGTATAAATTGAATAATATATATATTATTATTATTTTAAGATAAAACGTTTATGATTATTATATAAATAAAGTCCAATTTATTTAGGATAGTGTGTTAGGTCAAGTGGCATTGAAGCTCACTTGGGTGCCCATCACCCAGGGTTCAATTCCCCTTCTCTACATTTTTTTTGTAAAAATGCCACATAATTTGCCAACTAAGCATCAGATTTACAACTCAGAAAAAAAAAAAATGTAAAAATGCCACGTAGACTAGCCGGTAAAAATGACCTTCTTTTGTCGGTGACAGGACCATTTCTCACGATTTTTGCCACTTACGGGACGTGATCCAAAAGTGGGCATCGGAGAGGACCAAACCTCAAATAGGTGCCACTGTAAAACGAAATACCCAATTTTTCCGCCATATTCAGATAAGATATTTAAATGAAATTTTTTTCACCAACCAACTATTATTCTCTCCAGACAGATAACCCATACTTTTTTGTTCCGACAACTGACAATCAACAAAAGATTCCTTCATACAGTGGGCCCATGTATACTTCCTAAAGCCCAATCAAACATTGCCATGTAGTTTTACTTTAATTCATTTCATTTATTTAGTCTTGTCTTTTTTTTTTTCAATTATTTCATTTTATTTTTTATAATTTAGAAATGTGAGTATATTAAATAATAATTATAAATTAAAGATGTGAGATTAATATAAGATATAATTTAACGTATATCAGTTTATTATGAACATTGTTTAATTATTTTGCATAAAAGAACATAAAAAATATGTTTAAAATATTAATAAACTTAAAATATTTTATAACATATGTAAAATTATCTAAAATTTTCTATAATGTTATTGAAATATGTGAAGTCACATTAAAATTTCCAAAAAAACATTCAAATTTCACATCGGAATAAGAAATGTGAAGTCACCTAAAATTTGTTAAGCTATTTTGTAAAGAAATATGTCTAAAAATATTTGAATTTAACATTATATATGAATATGTGTATATGTATATGTATATATAGATATAGATATAATGTGTAAAAGAAGTTGTCTAAACAATATGTTTAAAAATATCTAAAATATTATAAGCCTAAATAAAAAAGCATCTCATCCTATATATTCATTGAAAGAAGATTTACATAGTATATATAACATAAATATTGAGATGACACCGAGAAGATATACATAGTATATATAAGATAAATATTGAGGTGATATGATAATTATGACGTCACCTTCATGTGAAAATTTGAGTACAAAATTTTTAAAATTACTTCAGACACCGAGAATTATGACATCACTTTGATGTGTGAAAATTTGAGTACAAAATTTCAAAAATTAGTTATTGTTGTGAAATATTTATTATAAAATAATGTATGTGAATGACTATTTTGTCCCTGATGTAATTGTATTATTACGGTTGTGCCATCAGAAGTTTCCTATAAATAGGAGCTTCAGTTATAATGAAAATTGCACCTAAGAGAAATATTTTCTCTATTCTCTCTCTTTTCTCTCTAGTTTAATAATACGTTATCAGCACGAGTCTCTAACCTTCAGAGCTCAATTAGTAATATGACGAAAGTATGCTCTACAGTTGCGTCTTATAGACGATCCTCTGTACCAGAAATCAGATTATTACTTCTATAAGATATATATATGTATACTGAATACATTAATGTACAATTTTTAATTTTATGACAATCCTCAACTAAAGACAAAGAATACAAAACAATAGCAGAGAATGGGATTTGGATTTTATGTGAAACTCTTTAAAAAAAAAAAAAAGGGATGGAGGCAATCCAGAGGCTGCTGCTGCCAAGATGTTCGCTGGAGGCTCTGATCGATTTATGTACAAGATTTTTATGAACTAAGAAAAAAAATAAGGTACGATTTATTTTACTCCCTACAGACGGTTACGTGGATTTCAATAATATGTGTATTTAAATCTGTGGTGATTGTGTTTAAAATTTTACCTGAATCCATTAAATTGTTGGAGCTTCAATAAGTCGAGCCTCCACAATCTCATCGTCTCGGTGAAGTCTCCTTATTTTTATTTTCGAGTTTGAATCCGTATGTTCATCTGATTCATTGTTCTTCAAGTTCACATTTTGAGCTTGAAAGTTGAAATTAAAGTTGAGATTCCAGCTGCAATTTTTGGTCTGGTTGTTGGAATTTGGGGCTGTTGTTGAATTTTCATAATTCTTGAAGAAGCTAGTGGAGATCATTGATGGGGAGTCAAGTATAAATGCACTCACCTAGAATCTGTCATA